AGTTTGTCGTTATATTAGCAGGCCTAAGAAGAATTTGTTGCGACAATTCGTTGGTGTGCGAAGTATATAGAATGCAAAATATTTGTAGAAAGAGGAGCGAAATTCAAATCATCCAGAGAGTAAAATATAGTACTTTTTTTTTAAAATAATCTGTTAAAGCGGCAGCATCAGCAAATATATCAAACAAATTGAGGAAAAAAATGGCAGAGAAAATCAAATTCCAAATAGAAGTAGAGAAGAGAATAAAAAGAGAGAGAGAGAAAGTGGAAATTCAGCGAAAATGTATCAAGAATGAGAGAAAGAGGAGATAGCTTTGTTGTTTTCAAAATATTTTTCAAATGCATACTGATCGATAGAGAAGAAAGGCAGCCCAAAAGAAATTAGTTAGATTAGTGTGATGCACTTTGCGTGAAGCGATTCGGTCGATGTATGAATCATCGGATCATTGCTTCGGCAAAGTGCATGCTTTTGTTTAGCATAAAATAGGAGAAATTTGTAAGAAAAGTGGTATAGCATCAAATTGGTTAGTCAATAATACGTGCGCCAAAACAAAGGTTTGTTACATACAATTTTTTTTGTATTTTGATTAAAAGTTTTTTAAAAAAATTAGTTGCGTTAATCAAAACTAAAGGCTCAATTTGAAATGCGTGTTATAGTCGAGCTGAAGATAGAGTGTGAATCAATCAAAATCGTCGAAATGTTAGAAATATAGACGCAAAGGTAGATGTAGCAGAAGGAACTATAATTGTAACTAATTGTATCCTAAATGACATACGCAGAGTGAGAAATATATATAAAGAGAGAGAGAGAGTGAAAGAGGTAAAGAGAGTACGTATTAAAGAAAACATACTAATTTATTATATAGAAGTTTCAAAAGAAAAAAATGAGAGAGAGAGAGATAGAAAGAGAGATTTGCTTTGGCATTTGTGTTGGATTTTGTTTGATTTTTGTGTGTTTTTTTTATGGATATCTAACCTTTGGCGATCAATTTGATTGAATGAATGGCAAACGAAGGTTGGTATTGAGCGCGACGTAAGCACGATCTCTCCGCAAACGTGGTTGAATTCGCTGTGATGTGAAATGTGAGCATCTGTGCAAGTGAAAAATTGAGTGTGTTTGTTGCTAACGGGTCGGTTGATTCAACTTGTAAACGACTTTGTTTCATTATTGAACGAACGCTTTTTTGATGCTGTTGATTTGAGAGGGACAGAGGCAGAGAATATGAGGTTTGCTGTCGTCGTTTTTCGTATATTCTCTTTAAAACTGCTTAATTTGATTGTGTGTCTTTTTAAGGCTTTTTTTGAGATTCTCCTTATAATTTGCTATATACGTGTATAAGATTAGTGTCTTAGAATTGATTGCTTCGCTAAATAAAATTGATTGATGCTGGAATAATATCGAATGGAAATGCTTCAATTCCATCATTGTGTCATGATTGATTCTGTCTTTTTGAGCGCCAACTTGTCTATCAATGCGAATTTGGGCTGAGTTCAGTATTGCTTTTTGTTCAATTCATCTGCTTTTTTTACGTTGCAAATTTTGATTGACGCTTTTGTTTTGTTCGATCAATTTTCTATCACCATATGAATTTTGAGATTTCTTGCTTTTCATTGTTTTTTTTTTTTTTTTTTTTTTTTTTTTGAAAGTGTTTCGTTCGATTCGTTCTATCATTGCTTTCTTTCTCTCATTCCGAATGCGCACATTATAATGCACTAGCGACCGCAATATACCAATAATGGTGTGTGTGTGGGTGGGTGGTATATTTTCGCTTAGAAAAATTTGATATCTTTCATTTCCAATTGATGGTCTCCCGGTCGTGATTTGTGATATGTGTAGATGTGTGTCATCAATGAATTCCGGGAACAATAGACACGTTCACAAATGATACAACGATACTCTTCCTGGCGTTCGGCATGCTTATCGGCGATGTGTCGCTTCAACGATGCCTTCGAACACAGCACCTTACCACACAGTTGACACGAAAACAATTTCTTCGGCGAACATCCTAAAATCAAATATAGATACAGCACAGAGATCCAAATACAACCGAAAGAAAAACAGAGAGAATTTTTTTTTTGGTTTGGTTTTGTTTGTGTTTTGGTTTTGGTGTTTTTGTTGTTGATATATTCGGGACCGATAATAGAGATAATAGATAGTAGAGGAGATAGACAGAGATTTTGTGTGTGAGAGAAATTATTTGTTTCGGTTCAATCATGTATCAAATCGATTTTTTGTGTTCTTGGTTTTTGCTTGGTTCAATTGACTTAATTGCATTTTGTCCTTGACTTGTTGATGTTTCTATCGCGTGATTTACATCACGAGATATGGTTCGTCGATGTCAACAAAATAAAAAAAAACTAAACCTCTAAACATGGTTTATATATCGTCGATGTGACCGAAGTTGGCTTTTTTCTCTTTCGAGTCGGCGTAAAAAAAAAAACAAAAACAAAAATAAACTTAAATTTAACCAAAAATAACTTAATTTCTTTGGCATTTACTTCATTTTTTTTATTCTATTTGTATTGCTTTGTCTGTCAATTGGTTGTTCCCTGTACAAAAGTAGAGAGGAGATAGGGCAAAACAGTGGATAAAAGTGATAGGCATCATGTTACTCTAAAAAAAAAAAAAATTATAATAACTAAAGAGATAGACACAAGTAGAGACAAAGAGAGACAGATGTTTGTTGGTTTTCGTTCAGTTTGTGTGTTGTTTTTCTTTTTTTTTTAATTCACTTTTCAGACTAAAGACAGGCCCCCATTTTAATAATGACATGTTGTCGGCGTCGGTGCGTGTGCGAATGTAACTTTTAGACGCATTTCTTGAGTGTCATCATGTATTAATCAACAAATGTTAGCCGGACACCTAACATTGGTCGACCGATTGCAAAGCTTCAGCTTCTTCACTATGAACAACATTTATACACACAAAATAATAATGTATATGGTGTAAGCCAAGCCGTCCCCAAAATAGAGAGAGACGAACTTCATTACAACAAACGAAAAGTTTACATTGGATGATGATTCAGTTCCAGACGTATTGCGACGAATGAGTATTGCGTGGTTATTGGTTAAAGCAAGTCAAATTCAGACATTTAAGAAGAAATTTATGCATAAAATTAACGCGTATATGTTAAACAAATGGCATGAATATATCGATAACATAGCAAAAGAGATAGACAGTATAATATGTGAACATGCGCCGTTCGTATTCCCGTTATTTTTCATTACAGTTGCCTGTAGTGTTTTTTTTATTTTATTATTCATTTCGTTTGTTTGCAATAAAAACTAGCGATTTGAAATGTATATTTGTAAAAATAATATATTTGCTTTTTTCTGCAAAATAATAATGATAAAATTGTAGTTATAATAATAAACTTCTTCATTTTGTCTATGCGATACATAAATTAAATTACACAGAAACAGAAACAAAAAAAAAAGAGAACAGAAATCGGATGTGTGTGTTGGTTGTGATTTTCATTCTTTCTTTTTTTTTCAAAAAATGTTTTTTTCTTATCGATTTGAAATGACAACTTACTATAGATTAATGTGAATCAACGTATTTTTTTAAAGAAACAATCATATATGCAAATGTGAATGGAGTGCAATCGAATGAATTGATTGACTCGTATCAGACACACATTCATTCATTTTGCTCCGCCTACTTCAAATGTGTATGGCTTGACTGTGGTTTTAATCATATTTATTAAAATTCAAATTCAATATTGAAAATATGAGTGTGTTTCAATTGAATATATATATGTGTGTGTGTGTCTGAGTGTTGGTGATCTGAGTGTGAGCTTTATTAACTATAATTATTTTTTTAGAGCAAATTGAAATCTTCGGAATTCTATTCATTAGTTTGTTTTAATTACGTTTCGTTCTCTTTTTCATCTGACGTCTGGGTCTATGTTTCATTTTATTTCTTCCTCTTTTTTTCTGTTTTTATCGATAAGTCTGTATTCAGGGGAGGGTAAAATGCTTATTGAGCTTAAAAAGGTAATTGGCAATATTTTTTTTTCTTCTTTACATTTAATGTTCAACAATTAAAAACTTAAAACTTGCATTATTACTTTTAAAGTTTGCGGTTTTCTTTTACCTCCCTCTTCTTCATATTCTTTACATCTTAAAAATCGTGCTAAGTTTTCATTTCATTTCGATTGCATTAGTTATCTTAGCTAAATTCATTTCTGTTTTTTTTTCTTTTTCTTTCTTTTTTTTTAAATTAAAGAAAATACACAAAACACATTTTATGACAGAAAAATAAAATCGTTCTTCACATGAACTGACAGGAAGTATTTAAATGCATCGTTATTTTTGTGTGTCTTTTATTTCTCAGGCATAATTAAAGGTGACAACAACAAAAATATAAAAAAAATTAACAAAGCTAACACGATGACTCCAATTCACAAAACAATCGAAGTGGCTATTTACAGTGAATCCCCGATGTGACTTTTGTTCAAATGGAAATGAAAAGTCACAAATTAGAAAAAAACGATATAAAAAGCTCGATTTCGATTACCAGTTCATTCGGAGCCCATTGGCTATATTTTCAAGTATAAACTTTGCTTGTTTAACGGACAAAAAAAGAAGAAAAAAAATTCGATGAAATTTAACAGTAAACGTGATTTTTTCAATGAAAACCTACAAATGGTTTATTTTTTTTTATTATTTTTTCTTCTTTCCTATCATTAACTACATTTTCAAAGCACCACTTTGCCTGTGTGTGAGTGTGTGGATGATTCGGTATGTGTGTATGTGGCTTTTTTCTTTTAAATTTAAAACATAAATGAAACTAAAATTAACAAGAATTATCTTCGAACTAAAACTTAAACTAAACTACACTATCTTTCACTTCGACAAAAAAAAATTGATCCAGAAAAAAAACGAAATGGTATTAGTCATATAATTTCAAATAAAATCAATAAATTATCAAAAAAAAGCACAAAAAATACATATAAAACAAAAACGATAAAGTGACATAAAATTAAATGATGTTGATTTTCAAATTCAATTAAAGCAAAAAAAGAGAAAAAAAAATAAATTCAAAAAAAAAAGTTCTATATCATATTCGACTATGGGGCTTTAAGGTGTTATCTTTACTCCATAAAAAATAAAATATATTTTACAATAAATTAGTTGGGGGAAAGGGGGCAAAAAAAATAATAATAAAGTTTTTTTTTTCATCTTCTTCGTATAAAATGTGTATTTGTATATAATATATTAGATTAATTTTTTACCTGGCATTGCCAATTGTTTTTCAATTAATTTTCATCTTCATCTTAGTAAATTCATATTCAAAAATAAAACGTGAAACAAACAATTTTGAATTGTTGATTCGAATTTTTAGTATAATAATTTTTTGTAGTTGATCGCCTTATTTTCTACACTTCGATTTTCTTCGCGCCGTCCAAAACCATGTCGAAAAATTGTTCTTAATTCATATACGTAAATTTCTTTTTTTCTTTTTAAATATTCTTTTCATTGTAAATCGTGTATAAATTTTAAATTTGGTATCAAATGAATGTCAGACTTCGTTTTTGAGAGGCCAATTGGTGTGTGTTTAAGTAAGTGTATGTAAAAAAAAATGATTGAAAGTATTCTTATTATCTCGAAAATTGTTCAATTCGTTTCGCGTCTGAACACCATCGATTCAGACATTGTTCCATCGCTTTTCATGCGCTTTTGCAATCAATTTCAAACGTTCTTTCCACTACGTATGTTTATAGTGAGAGCTTTCTTCGTCAAATATCGCCGCACATATACCATGACCAAAAAAAACCTTCGAATTCATAGTGTGCGAGTCAATTGCTTCTTTCAATATAGATTTGGTCAGCACCAAAAAGCAAAACGAAAAACAAACATTCAACGAAATTTCGCGAAAAAGTAAATTTTCCCTCTTCTTCGCTTTAGGTAAAAAAAAAATTCAGTCTTGCTGACAATCACAAATTTTTCGAGAAACGCAAATAAAATAGAAGCAATTTCTATTTTAAAAAAAATATTTTATATTTAGAAGTAATCGATTCGTTATATTTCTCTTTCGCATTTCTCGCATATTCATACACTCTACTTCGATCGTTATACTACCGAATTGGATTTTCAAATGTCTAACATAGCTAAAGTTAAAATTAAAACATCACATATTTTGATTTCTAAATAAAATCCATGCCATACCGGTGACGATTACTAAATTTTGATACGAAAATAGAGTTTTTGTTTTTATTAATGCGTCGAATAATGAATCTTGGTGGATTATGAATTTCAATATTAAAAAAAAAATATTGTCGCTTAAACGTAAGGAGATTTTGGGGAAGGGGGTGATTTTCTTTTTGAATAATAAAACTTGTGTTCAAATGAATTTGCTTACTATGCTGTGTGTATGTGTTTTGTGTGAACTCTAATTATCGTCTTCGATCTATTCTATACGTCTATCAGTCATGTTTTCGAAATACCGCTCGTTTTTTGGAGACCAAATTAAAAAAAAGGTTCTGGAAGAATTTTGAATTTGCCTAAACATATTATTATCATATCAATTTTGGTTTTCGTTGCCAAACTATACTATATATCATACTCAGGCGGTGTAAATTTTGCTTTTGGTACTGGTTTTTCTTTCGTCATCTTCTATCTATATCATTATTATCTCCGATCCTAAATCCAATTGGAAAAATTGCATAAATTGCATTTAAAAAAAAAAAAACCGAAAAAAAATTGAATCAAAAACATTTTCAACGTTTAAAAAAAGTTGTGTATAAAACTCTCTTTTCCCTATATGCCTAAATTGATCAACTAATTTGATCTGTTCGTCATCGCCCGACTAAACGTGCCTTGATAATATCATTCGTTTAATTTTTTGTCCATTTACACAAAATTGATTCTTCTATTTACAGTAAGTGAGGTCATCGGTTTCGTTATTTTTCTTTTTCTGCCGTGAATTTGCACATTTTGACATGAAACACAAATGGCCATCGATTTCATTAAAATGCATTTCAATTTAAAACGCGGTAAATACCTCTCAATGAAACAAATGTAATAAATGATTGCGTATTTTTTTTATTTCGCGCGATTTCAGCGGTAGAATGAAAAATGTGAAAATTTGCCGCAGAAAAAAAGTGTTCAATTTGATAATAAGTCAAATTCAACACTCGAAATGTTCAAAACTCTCACTGAATGAACCGATTGCAAACTAAACTTTTTGGCGAACATGTGATTTTAAATTTCCAAATGGTTTCATTTTTGTTTGTTTCGCGTTATTATTCACACTTCACGTGTTGCTTCTTAATAGCTATTTCTGTATTTTCTCCATAGATTTCTTTAAACATATACTTTTAATTAGTAATATTCCATTTTTTTCTTTTAAATGTAAATGCTTTTTCACGTTTCGCTTAATCCTAAAATAAAATGAAATTTAGCTAATGTGGTATTTTTCCATTTTTTTCCATGTTTTTCTGATAAAAGTACACAATACAAACGGCAAGTGGTTATTTTATGTGTGACCCATTTAGCACAGATATACTGTTCCTTTCTTTAGCTTCGAGGAATTGTTATTGTTTTTATTCTGTATGTGTTTTTTTCTTCATCTTTTTCATCTTAAAAACTGTTTTCATATTTACACATAATTCTATAGGGTATTTTCCATTCAATTTCTATATATCCCTTTTAGTTGTTTTTTTTTGGCATTCATTATCTGGTTGTTGTTGCTGTATCTCAATAGTTTTTTTATATCTCTTTGTCAGTCGATTCAAAATGACACAAAACACATATAGATGGTATGATGTGCAAGTGAATATATGAGTTTTGAAACGAACAAAGGGGATGGATTTTGATGTCAATGATGTGGAAATAATTTCGCACAAGAAATTTTTTGTGATCTCTTGACTATGAATATTGGCATTGATTCGATCGATAAGGGTTCGATCTTATTTATTCATCAATCGAAATTTCATTTCGTTTCATTTTTTTTCGTTTACTTTTAAATAGTAATAAATAGGATAATAGATGTGTTGTTCTAAAAAAAATAATTAATGACGAAAAAGGCTTCATAATTTAAAAAAAATGGATAATAATTAGATAGATTGTGTAACAAAAAAGAAGTAAAAGATTGCACATGGATGATGACAAATTCTTGTATAAAATCACTTGATTCGTAAACTATATAAATAATTTCAATGTGAGGGGGGAAGGCGTGACTGTGAATCGTTTTTGTTTCATATGCGCTTTGAGCCAAATATGTGAGTGTTTTTTTATGTATGTAAATAATTTCGAGGCGTTTGAAAAAAAAAATGTTTTTGGTTATAACCGCACATTAAATGTGCGCTGGCATCTAAGTACATTTAATTAAATTGCATTTGAGAGACGGAGTATGAAATAGGAAAAAAAAACACTGCCTGCGGTGTCGCGCAGCGCATATATCGGAACATGTCATATTTCATTTGATGTGTGTGTATGTATGTGGTTGTTGTTATTTTTTTTTAAAAGAGGAGGTCGGGGAAGCGAGAAGCAACCTAACAAAAATGTGAAAAATCATGTGTCGTCGTCGTAATCGTACTATCAATCGCATCATGACACATTCACCTGAGGTGCATTCATAAGAAATCAATGCACGGTTTCGATAAATCGGTTTGTGACTGGCTATTGGGCAAACTATGAATAATATTCGAATGGTGCTGTGGCTGTTGTTGATGCTGCCGATGTGGATCTGCATGTGATTGGGTCGGTGGCGAATGACGGCTATGACTATGGCCACCGCCACCATGTGCATGATGCGAATGATGTTGCTTTTGACGGCGATGATAAATGCTTTTATGATTATTCAAACTATTTAATGTGCGAAACACTTTATGACAGAGATTACAAACGGCATTATTTAATGGCTGAAGATGCTGTTGTTCCTTGTGACGTTTCAATGTTAATTTGGTGCTTAGGAGTTTGCCGCATACATCGCATCGATGGCAAGCAGTTAATGGCAATGGAAGCGATAAGCGTCCGGTGCCGGCATTATTTCCTGATAAAACACCACCACCATTATTACAATTGACGATTGATGATGGACTGACGACGGCGCCACCTAAATTGATTAATCAATTCAAAGGGAAAAGTTAGAGACAAAAGTGACTTGTGTGTTTTTATGTATTTTTATGTTTTTGTGTGTGTGTTTTTTTGTAATTGTATTTTGTTTTTTTTTTTATTTCAATGTTTTTTTTTTGTACAGATTTCTTTCATTCTTTTAAACATTATTTGGATTATTAGATGTTGGATGCGGATCGGCCAAGGACCGACGTTTCTTGTTTTTGAGGTATCGTTTCGCGTAATTTTTTTTTGTTTTCGTTTCTTTTATAATATCGAATGAATTTTGAATTTCGATACGAAATATGAAATTTAACTCTTACATCACTCAACGCATTTCGAAACGGTTTTATTTTGTAATTTTGCTTAATTTTTTTCTTTCTTTCTCATTTGTGTCGTACGGATCGGAAAAATTTTGGTTTGCCAAATTTATTGTGAAGCTTGATGTCATTTGCCTTTTTTCTTCATTTATTTTATGCTTTTTTTTGGTGTTGTTGGTCAAAAGATCAAAAGAAAAAAAGTTTCATGAACGAATTTATTGTCCAATTGTTGTGTCTATCGTTTTTTCACGAGTTTCAATTTTTTTTTTGGTATTTTTGTTGAAAATTAACAAAATAAAAACAAAATTAAGGGAAATTAGGACCCTGTGTGTGAACATGCGAAATTTGAAATTGGTTATGTTTTATTTTTTTTAAATACATATGTTATGGACAGCCACTTGAATGAAACCAATAATTGGTTTATCAAGAGATTATATTTCAAAGAACAACGACAACTGTGAGAATTTTTTTTAATAAAAACAAATAGATTTTTGTGTTGGAATGAAATCGAATTGATTCGTAATATAAAAAAAGGAACGAGGAGAGAAAGTACATTTTATTTGAGTGTCACTAATGTCTCTGCTTAACCCCTGCAAGGTCACACCTTTTTGATAAATGTGTTTTTTTTTCTTAAATTAGAGATTTGGACAAAGTCTCGTCACTTGTCCATCTCTCATGGTAAACAATAACAATTTCAATGTTTGGTGTAATGGAAATGTGTAACAGTGTAAGTGTTTTTTTTTCGGTATTTTTATGCGGATGTTTGTGTGTGTGTTTGTGTGGGTGGATTTTCTGAACTTTTGTTTAAAGACATAGAAAACAAAAGCATGAATAGTCGATTACAATCTGATTTGCCAATTGGTTCCCCCAAAAAAAGAACATTTGCCGAATTTATTGTGCACTTTATTTATGTTTTGTTTATCGTGTGTATCGCGCGCTTACGCTTCTCTACCAGCACTTTGCCTCTTGCCATACCAACAATTTCATGGTGCTTTTTCTTAACTCTTTCGATTTTTTTTTTTTTTTTTAACTATAATAATACAAAATATGTCTCAATGTCAATAACCACTATAGTACATTTTGTTTCTCTTTCTCAATACGGCTTATTACAACTTGATGGAAGATTTAAACTGCTTTGCTAATTTACTTATACCAAAAATATAAATCTCCTCCCATAATAACTAACAAAATTTTATTTCTTCAATCAATTCGCTTATGGTCTAAGTTTTATTTTAAAAAAAAACACACATTCTGCTTTGTTCAAGACAGCCTATTCCAATAAGAAGTGTATGTGATCGATGGAAGTGATTGCTTTATGTGTGAGTGTTTGTTTCGTTAATTGAAAATAAAAAGAAAGCTCATCAAATCGTTGGAACACTGTTTGTGTTTTATTTGGTGAATGAGATGAATAAATGTGTTAAGTTTTTCGTTTAGAAAATTTCATTCAAAAAGCACATGGTTCTTGATCGTGGCCGTTTGTAATTTGATCGGTTTTGTTTGTTTTTTTAGTTGGTTTTTGGGCGAGAAAACCTCTACTTGGTGCAAAAAATGTCTACAAAAATATTGCATGAAAGAAAAGCATTGCGTCATCAAAATGCCAAAAAAACACAACAAGCGATGCTGATTTGAATTATTATTAATTATATAAAATAGAAGTAGCGATGCAAAATGAGCAATTAACAATTCTACATCAAAAGATATAAAATGCACAATTTTCATTCTGTGTGAAAATTATTTTAAATCGATTAATTGGGAGCAATGCGACTTTAAGTGCGAACCCGATTTACATTAGATTAATATAAAAAAAGAGTAGAATTAGAATGTAAGAAGAACAAAAAAAAATTTAAAAGGAAAAAACAAAAATCGAAAAAATTTACATAAATTTATGCAATTTATCTATCGATATTAACAACTGGTAAGCCTACACCACTTGAATGAATGGGACTCTTTTACTTTTCATATTTTCAGGTTGTTTGTGTTCCCTTCCATTTTTTTAAATATTGTATATAGATTAGAAAAAAGTTGAATTGAATCAAATACACACAACAACAAAACGATGGTGAATTTGATTCGTATGAGTGTGGAATTAAGCCTATTATGTATATATATATGTAGATATTATATGCGTATCGCGTTATAAAGAATGAATAACAATAAATAGGAGATGGAAAAGGCGCTTTGAAAATGCTTGTTTGTTTGTTTTTCTCTATCGGATCGAAAAAAGAAGGTGTTTTGTAGATGGTGTTTTTATGTACAGAAAAATCTTCCATGTCATTTCAATGGAATGAAATCTTTTTACAAAAGAATTGAATCTAATTAATTGTTTATAAGTGTTGTGTTTCAAAGAGAGTGAAAAATGAATAATAAATTCAACTCAAAAACTAAAGCAATAAACTGATAAAAATGCATTTTTTTAAATATCTTTTTACGTTTTTGCTTCTCTTCTTCTCAATAATAATATATCGAAATGCTCTATTTGCCTAAACATGTTTCCCGAATCAACTATTTATATATTTATATAAAATATCTATATTTCGCTTTACTATGGTTAAATTCAACGATTTACTATTATTATTATTATAAGAATTTCAATTCTAATTGAATTAGGAAATGTAAAATCAAATATTTGTACAATTTATCATACTGAAATGGATTGTTTCGTTCGAAAGCAAAATTAATGAGAGAAAAACTGGTGTTGGTTTTTCTCTTGTTAAATTCTCTCAAGGAGTGCCAAAAACTGCCTGAATTTCAGTGTCTATGAATCTTGAGTGTTAAATATATTATATAAGAGAAAAAAAAAATCTGATAAAAAAAACTTAAAACTTCTGTTTTAACCTTACGTAAGAGGTGGAAAACAAAATTGTAGAATAAAAATTAAAAAAAAAAAAAATAATGTCAAAACGAAAAAAAATGCTTGAAAAACTTCCTGTTGGATGTACGAGTGCGCGCTTGTTTTACTGTGAATGTGTACTCAAGGTCGGGTGTATATTGTCTATGTGCTGATGATGAGCGGATGCGATACATATATCGTATAAATGTAAGGTAGGAGAAGGAATAGAGTAATATGTGTTGTGTACGCGTGTATGTAAATAAGTATTGAGGAGAGCGAACGGTGCGAAACGCGCCCGCGCGCGCATTATCACTTAGCTCGCTTAGGACGATCGATGATTTATTGGATAATATGAATGACCGGTGGTCGATAATGAAGCGCTTGAATCGTCTTTTGGCTGTTTCATATTTCGATGATAAATACTTTTGTGATTGCGCAAACTGTTCAGCGAACTGTAGACCCGTTTGCATATATTACAAACTGGCTCTTTTGTTGGTCGCATGTGAACATTTTGTATGTGACGCTTTAATCGTGTTAACGATGATAAATTTTTATTGCATGGATCGCATCGAAAATCTTCACCGAGAGCACCGGCACCGCCCGATGGTAACATTGCGGCTACAACAGCAGCAGCGGCAGCAGCACTGTGATGACTCGAACCGGCTGATTGATTCGGCGTTGATGTTGAAGTCGGTGTTGTTGTGGCGGTCGTCAGATGACCTGACGACATCAAACAAAGATGACGTGATTAGCCCAATAAAAATTGTCTCACACACCATCACCAGGAGTTGTTTTAATTTTAAACTAATTTTTTTATTTCTCTCAACAACAAAATTAAAAAAAAAATAAAATTTCGAATTCGCAAATTTTTCTTCAATCAAAAACAAAATATATAGAGTATTATTATTTTTTGTCTTGTCCAATTTATCCATTGTGTGTGTGTTTATACCATTTTGTTTTCTTTTTTGTGTGTGGTTAATTTGCCTAATATTTATTTTATTTTTCAAAAGATTAATGATAATTTCGTCCAGTGTAAAAAAAAAAATCAAAACTCAAATTGACTAATCAAAATTTGTTTAAAAAATAATAATAACCAGATCATTTAACGAACAAAAAACCTCTAAATCAGTGTTGTTTTGTATAGGTATGTATGTGTGTAATATGTGTTGATCGCTTTGAAAACACATAAAAGTGAGAGATGATACAAAAACATTTTCGGTTATAAATATTATTATTATTTTTTGCTGACATGTTTTGTTCAAGCTTTCGCTGAAGGTGTGTGTGTGTGTGTGATCGAACGAAGCTTTTGTGTGATTGTCACAAATTTGAAAAAGTTTAATAAAAAAACAACGGTTTTACGAATAAAATTAAATAAATCGAAACGATTAAATGCAAAAAAGGTAAAGAAAATGTGTGTAAGTCCATCCCTAAACAGAACAACAAAAATAAATATGTTTTGTAATGTGTGTCAACAAACGCTTCCCGTTAACCATTAGTGCACCAAAGCATGTGTAAAAAAACAACAATAGAAACAACAATATATCCTGAGTGCTAAGTCTTTAATCCAATTTTATCGTTGCTTTTGAAAAACTATCGCAATTAACACGCCATGAATTTCCAATGAGTACCATTTTATTTTGTGTCGGGCTATGTTTCATTCGATAAATAAATTTCGGTCGCGATTTTTCAAAAGCACGAGAAAATGTTTATCCGTTATTTTCCTCCGGTTTACACACATTTCAAGTGCTATGTATTTTGTTTAACTTTTCGTCCATTTTTTAGTTTATTTACAATGAACTTATAGAGTTTTTTTTATATTTCTCTTGTGTCGGTCTCACCGATTCAATAAATGCTAAGTCAAAACACGACGCCGATTAAACGAATTTCTCATTTTAATTCATTTCAAGCCAGTGCAATAGACATGTACTAATGCAGCTGGCTATGTGTGATGTTACGTTTTTGTGGGGAATCGAAAAACAAGTTATTTTTTGTTTGTTTTTTTTTTTTAATTCGCAAAAGAATTTTTTCATGGAAAAATGCCAATAAAGAAGGAAATGAAAAAAATGAAATCGTCTTTGGTGTATGTGTTGGAACAAGTTAAGCAGGCAATTATGACATTCGTGAATTCGTTTGCAGTGTGGCAAACTCAATGGTGTAAATTTCTGTGAATTGGTTGATTTCTCACAGATGTTTCATCCTTTTTTGTTTATCATGGATTTAATCGCTTGGCATTTCATCATTGTTCGACGGGATTGGATTGTTTATTCAATTCACTTTCCCTCCAATCTCAACCAATTTCTAAATTCGATTTTTGTTTCTTTTTCAGTTAAAAAAAAACCCGGAGTCGAGAGAGTTAGAGAATGAAAATAGAAAGAGATAGAAAGATAGAGTTAAATCTACTCAACAGATGTAGCCCTATTGAAATGTATGACATTTTTTATTGTTTTTTTTTTGTTGTTGGTGTCATTCAACCTGAATGTTTTTGATAAAAATTAACAATTTGATATATGAAAATGTGAATTTTGGACAAAATTTTGAAAAGATGACAATTTTCAATGCGTCTTTTTTATTACCCAATGTGCTTTTTTTAAATGGTGTGTACAGCCGAAACCAAATGCCAATTTGTATCCAATGCGCTTTCAATTCTTAAATTACTAATTTTAACAAAATGAAATTTTGATGATCTTATCGAAACTAGATTTTGTATATCAAATTGCAAATTTCCTACCTAAATTGTATTAACGGATTTAAAAAGGGCTCATTAGTGAAATTAGGAGAAAAAAAAACGATTTAAAATACAAATATTGTATTTCTGTAATTTTGTTTAGAGCTGAACGATTTGGTATTGAAATGAAAAAAAAAAATGAAATTGGGACAGAGAAACGAAAACTGAATAAAGAATAATAATATTTGTGGGGGTGGAAAAAGAAGAAGAAGAATATTTAAATGGTTTTGGAGCCTATTGCAACCTCTAACCAAACAGATTAACATTTGATACAAAAAAAATTAATTAATTTAAATATTTCACTGCATAAATTTTGTTTTTATTTTTCACATAATTTTCATAACGCTTTTGGTGTTCAAATGAAAATGTAATTGTGTGATTTCGCTGTCTTTTTTTCTTATGTCTTTAAAATATTGTTTCATTTTGTTTTGTTTGGATGATGGTTGATTAATTTATAAAAATTTCATTTAATTCCAAAACAGAATTTCTGAAGCCAATTGACCGAGTCGATGATGAGTCTGATTTTCATTCATTTTACATTTTTTTTAATGCAAATTACTTCTCCTTCACTTCGTGTGTGTCAATAAGAGTTCTATTTCATTTTCCATTTGTTTTTAAACATTGTCAATTTTGTGGTTTGGTTTGAATTTTTTTGTTCATGATATTACCTCTTGCCTTTGTTATTTTTGTTTCGTTTTCTTTTTTCCTTTCGCTTGTTTTACGAGATATTTTCACTTAAAGAAAATGCAACTTAAAAACCATATTCGCTAAAAAATGGAGCCAATTCAGTTTGTTTTTTTAGTTTTTGAAACAACGAAATAAAATGCCGAATGCTTGTTTTGCATGAAAAATGCGGAATTCAAATTTAGTTCTGAAAAATGATTATTTAGCAGCACATCAATTGCCATCAATTAATGTTAAAAAAATATGTTTTTTTTCTTGCTGTTGTAAATAAAATGCGCATAAATCAAAACACAAATAGTAATATTATTATTTTGTCAATCAAACGGAACAAACAACACGTTTTAATTTTGTTTTTCTTTAAAGTAATAAAATAATTTTGTGTAATAAATATCGCTTAAAAATCGCTTCTAATTCGGGCAATTAAATGAATTTTAATTTTGAAACAGATTGAAAAATGAAAATAAGTATAGTCAAAAATGATAAGGAAAAAAACAGATTCAAACGGAACACAGTTTTTGATTCGAATAGATAAATCAAAAACAGATGGAAATCAAACGAAAACACATGTATGTCAAAATATACTGAGATGCAAAATTAAAATATATATAAAAGAAACGAATTCAAATGAACGACACAAACGCTCGCATTTTTACATGAAAATCTTTCGTCTTTTTTTTACGGCCCAAATTTTAAATTCAAAATAAAAAAGAGGGAATGGAAAATTTTGGAAAAAATAGTAGTTTTGTGTATAATCAAAAATGATAAAAATAAGTTATGATTTTTTCGTTGGCTCAAAATAAGGAAAATACGCTCGAAACGAAAAGAAAAATGAACAAAAACAAAAGGCTTTGACTTAAAAAAAAAACGTCGGAATAAAAACATAAAAAAAAGAATAGAATATGCCAGATGATGGAATAAAAATCATGTCCAAAAATAAATGAAATGAAGAACGAGAAAATGAAAGAGAGTATGAGCGTGAAATATAAAATGAACAAACATGACAAAGGGGGGAAAGGCGGGAAAAGTACGAAGAATGTGAAATATTCAATTTTGAAAAAATTAGCATGGTATTGTCTTTGCTTGTTTTTTTTTTTGTGTGTGGTGGAATGTGATTTAGATGAGAACAACAAAACAAATGACAAAAAATATATATGTTTGAAACAAAATACCGATGTGGAAAACATGTTTTTTTGCTTTTTTTTATTTGATTTTCGAAAAAATAAAATTAAATAAATTTTGATTTCATGGAAATGACGATTCAATAATGATCGGGAAATTAGGTAAAAATAGAGATTTAAAAATGAAAATTGAAAATTAAAAAAAAAAAAAATTATGAGAAATAAAAATGGAAAACGGAAACATTTTTGTTTGGAATGAAATATATAATTTGTTTTACGGTCATAATGCAGCAGAACACAATTTAAACACACATACACGACGAATTGACACGATATACGATACAAAATTAGCACACAAAAAACCAATTCACGAAAATCTTTGCTTTTTATAATGATATTATTCCTTTTTTATTAAAAAAATAATGTTTTTTTTTTGTTTTGTTTTTTATTCATTCGTAAAAGGATGATTAATACTCTCTTCGATTTGGCTTTCCAACTTTGGTGGCGAAGTGACGAACAAGTCAAATACTCATTTCCATTCCATACAACCAGATTAGTTTAACTCTACAATATTACGATTTATTGTTGAACATTTTTTTTTTTTTGTTACTGAACATTTAAAATGTCTTCTTTTTTCTTGGTTAAAACAAAAATTAGCAACAAACCATCTTTGATTCCGTATTTGATTCGTTTGTCACTTTGCAACTTGATAGAGAAAAAAAATAACAACCTAAAACATTGAACATCGATTGGAAAGCCAAATCCAGGGAAAATATATCAAAATAATTTTTATTGGTAAAAAGCTTTCGTTTAATGGGTCAAATTGCAACAATTGTAAAAGAAAACAAAAATAGTTAACCAAAATCAAAATCAAAAAAAAAAATTATAACATCGTTATGTGTAAAATTGTGTAACAAAAGCCAACCAAAACCAATTTTTGTGTTATGATCCCATGTTCAATTAAAACAAAACGTCAATAAGTTCAAAACTCTCAAAAATAATAATTTCAATTAAAAGAACAAAAAAATTAATTTAAAATTAAAACTTAAACCGAAATGGCCGAAGAATGATTTCGTTTTCATTTTGTACAAAATATTTTTGCTAATAAAAATTATTTGAATATATTTTTTTTTTTGTTTAATTTCTTTTTTTAAAAAAAATTTGGAGTGTATAGTGTGTGTGGGGGTAAGACGCGTTGGTTAATTTTCATTTTAATGAAAATATATATATATTTAAAGAAAACAAATAACGGCTTGAATCAATAAAATAGACGTAAAAATCTTACCTTGTGGAGATCCAGCTAGTTGATCAGCGGCTGATTGCAAGTGATTCAATCCTTTATTGTGAAAATGGACAGAGAAAAAGAGAGAAAGTTCATTAATAAGCGATAAAAATCGAAATAAAGTAATCAAATTTAACATTCTCAAGAAAATATCAAGTGGATTCAATCCACTTGGATGCCATATTGAATTAATTAATAAATATTATTTCGAAAATGCTAATCAAGATTGGTAGTTAATTTGCGAAAAGAAGTATAATCGAATAAAAATAATGTGTGCATACCAACAAGTGTTGCAGGATCAGTTAGTGCAGCCATTGAGAAACTGAATGAGCCCGGTGATGAGAAGAGTTTATTTTCAGCTCCCATTAGAAACGGCGGTCCAGTGTGTGAATGTATGTTATCAATATCGTCATCATTATTTGAGCTGCTCAAAACAAAAAGTCAAAACAATTCACATTAATACATCTTAAATTTCATCGTCGCAGAGCAAATGGGAACGGGAAAATTGCTCTTTTTTTTGTGTTTAATGAAAATGGTTACCTGAGTGATCCTTTGCCGTCGTTGCCGCCCAAGTATTTAACATCGTTGTCACCGACTGAATCGTTGCTTTGTTCATCGGATGGCAAATTGTGGTTGATGCCGACGAGATCCATGGGTTCGGATTTAACATTATCGTTGAGGCGGTTTGGCGGTGACGGTGTAAGACTCTCTTTATCAGTTGACGATGAGGATAATCCATTGCCATTTGATGTATTGTTGTTGCTCATGTTATTCGGATCTGAAATAAATTAAATTGAATTTCATATGTGCAACAAAAGCGAACAAAATATGAAATGCAAGAGTATACATACTATTTGATGAGTAGTCTTCGGCGCATTCAGCATCTTTCATCGGCGGCGTATTGTTGTTGTTGTGTTTAATTGTAGAGAAATCGGCAGGGGTGACTTGTGGCATATGACTAATGACATCTGGACTGTTGTTATTGCCATTGTCGGACCGTTGACGTTTAAATGAATGCTCATCTTGACCGGCTTTGTTTGAACGTTCACGACGTTGTACGGCTGCACGTTCTGCTGCATGTCGCAATAGCTGATTGACTGTTGCATTTGAATGGGCTGCATTTATAATTAGAAGAAAAAAATGGTCATGATTTGATTTTGGTTTTTGATTGTAAACAGGGTACTTGCACTTACGATTTGACGAGTGTAAGTTGTTTAAATGCGGTGGCGGAGAAATTCCTTGTGGGAATAGAGTTTCTTCCAATTTATCTGTAAAGCTTGGATGATGGCTGATGGGTGTGCGGCCGCCAGAATTGCCAAGGCTTTGAATTTGTGCTAGCTGCTCAACGAGAGAGAGAGGAAAAGAGAAAATGAACGGTAACATGAGTCACATATGCATATTTTCACTGAATTGAATCACACTGATGCTTACGTTGTGTGTTTCTTCAGCCTGTTGTTGTGTTAATCCAGACACTCTAAGTACCTCGGCTGTTTTTAGAAATGAGCTGAGCGAGCGTTGATGTACATTTACTTCGCCGTGATAGATGAATTCGACCAAAGCATGCAAATCGTTGAATGCGACATCTTGTAACACAATCACTGGGTGTTTACATGGTGTGCTCTGTAAAATTCAAAGAAATATTAATCAATTCATAACTGGAATGTGCGTCACTGTCTTAGCACTAAATAAATAAAACACTCAGATACTTGGAACGCGAAAAAGAAACACAAATGAAAAGGAATTGTATTGAAAACAAAACAAAACAAAAAAAAACTTCATTCAAAGTCATTTTCAAGTGAATTTGTGCGTTTGCAGAAACAATAATGACCGTTAACATTGAACCTATTCGAATGCATTTTCGCGGTTCTCCTTCTCTTTCGTTTCCATTGGATTAGATGCAAGTTTTGATTTTGTTTGTTTGCGCTTGATGTGTGTCGCGCAAAACCATACAACGCGAATCAAGTAAAAAAATGCCGTCGAACAAAGAATAAGAAAATATTGCCAGACGCTAAAAAAAATAAGTAGGACACGCATTTGCAAAGTAAATTTGTTTATGTTTCGTCGCATTAAACGTGATTTTGCATCATGTTTTTTTCTTCTTCTTTTGCTCTTTTCGCTATCCTTCAGTCTCTTATACACAAACAGCGCAATATGAAACATAATAAATGAATGAAGAGAGCGAGAAAAATATCCGCATCGTTACAAACACACACTCATCGCCGACATAAAATAACGTCGATAACAACAACGGCATCATTTAAGCCAATTGAGAAATTATGAGTCCTTCAAATTCTTGTTTGAGCCAACGCTCAATGCTGACTGCTCTTTGCGTCCGCCCTTCCAATGCATTCCATGCGCACAATAAGGAACTGCACTTTTTATTTGGGTTAGTATGCAATAAGCATGTCACTTGCAATGGTTTCTTAACAACATTATCATGCTCTCTCTCTCTCCCTCGCGCTCTCGCACTTGCACTTCGCCCGATCTCGATTTTGTGTGAATTGGCGATTGACGAAGAATTGGCGAAGCGAAATACAATACGAATAAAAAACACAAAATATTGTCGAATGTGTTATGTACAAAAGTTACTCTTTTTTTCGTTCGTTGCATTCATTTGCATTTTATTGTCGAGCTTTTTAACGTCAGCCTACTATATGTGGTGTGTGCATGTTTATGACAAGTCAAATGACAATTTCGATTTATATTTATTTTTTTAAGTGTTTTCATTTGCCATTGAGCATTTTTTTTTCGCTATAAATATCAATGAGCCATTGCATTTCATTCGAGTATTTTGGGCCACACTTGAACGGCCAACATTTTTGTTTTTAGTTGAATCACGATGATTGATGCGAACATTGCCAAATCAACATCGAATGTGCGTAATCAAATCCGACAACATTTCATGGTAATCGGACTATGTGTGTGGAACAACTATTTATTATAACTGGACAGCATTTGGGACCTCTCTCTCTCAATCTCAATGGCTTTGTTCCATTATGAATTTATTTTTAAAGTTGCCTTGAAATTTCACTGCAATCAACTATCAAATGTTGCAAGTGTGAATATCAGAAAAAATTATTGAATCACGTTGAATGAATTCCGTATAAAAAAAAACTATGGAAAAATCGAATGCGAATTTAACCAAAAAAATAATCAAAACACCAATGATATGCCTATTTTTTTGTATTGACTGATAATGAATGCTGTGCTTCTTTGTTGTTCTTGTGCAAAGCGATAAGAAGTTTGAGATAGTTTGAGTTTCAAATTTCGTTGAAATTGTCTGATTTGAAATTCCTACGAAATTTGGTTTACATAACAGTTTCATTTTTATATCATTATCACTCCAAGTCTAGCTCCAAGTGAAATAAAATCAAGGCAATGAAAAAAAAACTCTCCATAAACTAATGTTTTACTTTTACAAATTTTACGCCCAAGTGGTTGTTTCCTTCTAAAACAAAAAGTTCGAATTTATTGTGGTTGGTAGTTGCTGTCCATAGTTGTTATTATAAGAATAATAGTAATTACTTATTATGCGCAATATTCATATTTCATGAATTTATTGCGACTCCTTTTCTGTTTTTTTTTTGTTCTTGCACGAACTGAAGAATAAAACGAAAAAAGTTGGTATTGCGTTACTCGCGCGGTACACATTTTAATTCATCGCGAAAATTTGTTGTTTCATTTTTCATGTTCAATTAATTTCTCAGTGCACAATTTTGCGGAAAAAACCCCTTGAACTTTGTTTGCAAAGAAAACAGTAGAGAAATCGCTATATGTGTATATGGAATTGACTATGCTTAGTTAAAAACTTTACACACAGAGAGAGAGAAGAGACGATGATAAAATGTTTTCATAATTGACTGCAGTAAAAATATTGTGTGTGCGCGCGAAGAATGAGGAGCAGCAGTCATACACACACACATTTACACAAAATGAGACAATAAATGAAATAAATGCACGAATAGAAAAAGTGCGAGTGTGTAAGTTATATTTTCACTAATTAGATTTTGCTGTACGAGAAAAAAAAATGTATGGAAGAATGTGAACGAATGAAGTATGGCAAACAGCTATAAAACGGGCTGGTTGCCTCGGAACCATGCTCAAAATCATGGCATATACATATTGTTTGGGGTATCGCTTGGTGAATGGTTTCGCCTCGACGTACATATAATTCATGTTTTGTACGGAAAAATTAGTTGCATATTGCATGTAATACGTCGAGCACGTAGAACGGGGAGAGAAAGAGATAGAGAGTGAGCGCAAAAAAGAGTTCATACACAGGGATAGATATTAACGCTGGCATCGCGACGATGACAAGAACTGCGACAATGACAATGTTTGCGACTTGATTCTTTTCTTGCTTGTTATCGTTTCCCTCTGTCTCTCTCTCCCCAAACTAACCAACTTTTCTATGCGATTTTCAAAAAGCAGCAGAACTTTGTCTAAAATTACTTTGGCATAATTTTTGTTAGTTCGTTTGGGTTTTTCGTTCTGCATGTTTATAATTTTCTTGCTACATAATTTATTGCGTATCTTTAATTTCAATGCTGAAATTAGCGCTGAGACTGCAGTTTACTGTGAGACAAACAACGCAATGTTGTTGATTCACATTCGCGTTCATTTAACGAAAAAATTGCCATTTTTTGAAATGGCTTAGCGATATATGCAACTCAAGAATTATGAAATACATTCCAATAATTAAGTTCTAAATATTTCCATAGAACATTTCGTATCTTCTTCTTAGTGCTAGCTTGTACTGCCATCGTCACTACGCTTATCCGCTTAACATTTCGACGCAAAAACAAAACCGTATAATTAAATGGCAATTATATTCTTTTCTTCGGTTGTTGGTGTTTTTTTTTCGGCAAAAATAAGTAGGAAACCTGAACCGTTGCAATTTCATTCACAGCGCAATGCACAACATCATGCGGAAATCGTAATTAATTCTTTTCAACGAACACCGAACGCTTTTTTTGTAGTGTATGTCTTTTCGTGTTCTAGTCATTTTTTGCTCATGAAAAATATCTTTTTAGTTCATTTTTTACTATGCGGAATCCGTTATCTATTTTTTTTAAAGCGTATCATCATCAGTCGAAACAAAAGCACATTGAAATAAGAAACGAAGATTTTCGAAACAAATATAATAAATAGAGAAAGAGAATAAAGAAAAAAACTTACCTTAAGCAATTCACGGAAGTATGGGCTGCATGCCGATAGGACGACACGATGTGCCTTCAAACTTCTGCCATCACAGGCCAATGTGACATCGACGAAATCTTCGTCGTCGCGCAAATTCTCAAATGCCGATGTAATACTACTCTGGTAGTTATTCCATCGTAGGCAAAAATGCTGTGTGTCAACCATTTTGCTTTGTTTTAATGATTTCCTTCGTTCCAGCGCGGATAATTTCTTTGCTTCTTTTGCTTTTACTTTAATATTCTGAAAGAGAAAAGAGAATTTATTATAAATTACTAATTCGATTCGATGTATTTGATCGATTTAAAAAAAAGAAGAAGAACAATTGCAGAAAACCGGTTCATCATTCACTATAAAATGTTGTTTTTTTTTATTGTGTGTTGACGTTGTCGTTACGAAATATAAGAATAGATAAATTTTGCACATTCATTAAAGAGTACGTCATTTAAACCGTTCATTGACATTGAATTGCAAATTTACTCAATTCGATGCCAACAGTAGAAGCAATAGCAAATATATGGAAATTCTTCACGTTTCATCCAAATGTCTATTGGGATTTGTCTATCACGCGTACATATTTTTGTATTCTTCTTTTTGTCTATTGGTTCGCCAATTGAGTATGGTCAAATTACCTGACCTATCTCAATGAGTTTTATCTATGAAACCATGACTCAACATAAAGTCATCGGTTTGTGTACTATTACACCAGTTCTATCGCCGGTTTTTTTTTATCTATTTCATGAATGAAAAAGAGTTGATGTCCATCGTCTTTTCTTAAAATACGACAAAAAACACCACGTGTACGGTGCCACGCATACGAAAGAGATAAGGAGATAATTTGCATAAGTTGAAATAAAGTGGGTGAAGGTGATCACACGCGTATGCACGTCATTCACCACAATCGCTCTGTTAACGATTCTTGTTAGAGCCACGAATGAAAATAATATCGACTTTAGTGACAAAACCATAGAAAAGTTTTTATTTTCGTTTTATTTCTTTCAAGTTTCAACTTCATATATGAATGTGACGTAAACATTCCTCTAAATCGTCTGTTTTTAATATATTCCATTATAGTTGAGTATTTATAAAGTGTATAAAGTAAATACACTCATTTTAAAATGTTGTTGCATAATTCAAGTTAATAGAGACATCTATTAGAGAGTAATTTGAATAAGCCATCAGGCAAACCAAGCCGGTGAACAAAGCAATTTTAACTATTTTGACATTTGCAAACGAGCGTAAGTACGTCATTCGAAACCAGAGAGATGCTAAAAATTTAGGACAAAATAGAGTGAAAACAAAATACCAACGTGAAGTAAACAGAAAAACAACCATGGATTCAATAGTAATACACAGACACAGACACAGACACACAAAAACTACGTAAATTGTATGTATAGTTGCATTTGGGTTATGCACCGCACATTTTTATGTGTCTACCGAGTCGAGTGAATGTCAAAGTACACGAGACAAAGGCAATTTCCATAAGTACAGAGGAAAAAAACGCAATAGCAGTCATTTCAAAAAAGGAATGAGAAAAAAAACGCAAAGTTTTTCAATGGCACCGTCAAGTATATAATAGAGTCGAGACGTTTATTTTTCTGCTGCTGAATAAAGGGAGCGAAAAAAAAGCTCGCCCGCTCACTCTTCCGCTGATTCTTTTTTTGTCATGTTGTTTTTATTATATACCGAGACAGCCGATGCACCGACTGATGGCTTGCAAGCACAACACACACACACACATATTGCAAAGTAGAAAAAAAGCACACGAGAAAAGAGTCGAGCACATGACAATTGGTGGCGTCGGTGGTGATGCCGACGATGGAAAGCACATATGTGATATCATAATCAAGAGAGTGCGAGGAAAATTGTACGCGGAGGCAAAAAATGCACGAAAATCCATGTACACATATGGCCGAACATTGGCGATGGCTCGATGTGTACAAGAAAACCGGATGCAAAAAGTCGAACGAGAACGAATGCGAAAGAGAAAGATAGAAAGAGAACAAAAAAGACGTATCCAGTGAATAAAAATTTGTTGTTAGTTCTGGTGTTCCAGTGACTCGTTTCAATGAGACATTATTCAGTGTAGTCTAGCGCCCGATTTCATTGACGTCGCTTTCGCCACGCCATCAACTTTCACTGCATTGCACATTCAGATTGTGTGTGTGTGGTTGCTGCCACTGATGCTGATGCTGCTATTATTATTTTTTTTTCTGCTGCTCATTCTCATTTCACACTCATCCCAATGTTCGCATATCTCGAGAGTTGAATCATGCCACGTATGTTTTTCAATGCATTTGTTGGTGCGTGGATATTTCGATTTTCTGGCATTGCACCATCACGGTGGTGTGCACAGTGGTTGCACAGAGGGAAAAAAACTTTTGTGTATACATAAGATGTAATGCATATATAGTGTAGTGAGAGAGAAAAAAAATGTGCCCGGACTTTTTGACGAAGCTTATGTGTGTGGGTTTTATGCATCAGTAGATGCATTTCCCATCAAAACGTACTCAATTGCTACCGTTTGTGCTTTTTGTGTCGAAGACCACGTTTTTTTTCACTCGCCTATTTGAACTATATACCATGTCGACTTGATGTACTGAATGTTTTATTTACTGTACTCACGACCGAGTTTGCTTTTTTCTCATCTTCACTCGATTTTCTGCTCTTTTGCTTGTTGCATTTCGAGGTAGATTGCAAAAAAAAAAAATTATGTGTGGCGCACATTCGATAGACATACCACCCACACACACACACACACATGCACTTGCAATCGAGGCAGAGAGAGAGATTTGAACAGCATTTAAACCAAATACGACAAAAACTACCGTGGCGAATCAAGCGAATTGAGGTGAATGTCTGGCATATCCTCTTTTTTTCGTATGTCATTTGTGAACGTTTCTTTCGCCAACGCAATGTATATAGAATAAAAAGCGTTTTCACTTTCAGCTCAAATGAAATATTACCGTGCTGAAAAACCAGTGCGTTTAACTCGCTTAACCAAACCACGTTACAAAACTGGCTAAAAAAACCGAAAACCCATTTCAACAAACCGGCAATTCTCGGGATGATCAAATCCATTGTGTGTGAGTGTGATCACAACGCCAAACATTATTCGGCATGTCGTCAGTTTGATAGCGATTGTATATGTGTGTGAATTTCCTAGATGTGACCTTCACCTTAACCCAGTGACAAAGTGTCGGACGAACGGTCGATGGCTTTGCATTTGCAATATTGTTTGTTTCGTTATTTGCTGTTTCTGTTTCAATTCACAATACTCAATCTCTTAATATAATATATATTATTGCATGCGGTTGCAGTGGTATTCATCGCAATAGGATCGATTGTGGCAAACAAAGCCATTTAAGCAAATAACATAAATACATTATCTCTATCTCTCGCTCACCACACATACAATGTTTTTTTTTTTTTTTTTGTTTACCTAGAACTGAGCAAATGTTGAAAGACAAATAATGAAAAAATAGAATTTATCGTCATCAATGCGAACCAGCAACAGCTCATAAGCAACAATCAGTGTGAACACGTCTGCTAAGTACCGTGTTGTTATGTTTTCAACGATTTGCTGCATCTTTCGATTCGGAATTCTTTCGATTCCGACTGATTTTAGAATTGTTTACGTGTCACAAATGAGATCGAATTTCATGAACCGTTAAATGCGCGACAATAAACTGAAACTATTACAGTGTATGTGGTTGTGCACAGACAACAGGCGTTAGAAATTTATCGCGTCTCGCTTATTAAACATCTAACGTCTAGCGTCTGCTTTACACTTTTGCTTTCAGTCATATTTTATCATCAACATGAACGGCGTGATGTCACACACCAACAACATATAATTTAGTTTTGCTTTCAGTCGAATACAATCGATCTTTTGCATTTACATATGTTATCTATACATATCATATACATCTAATTTCACTACCAACAACAAAAAAATGACACATCGAACATTTATCGTGCATTTTTATGAAATTTTAAGCGAATGAACAAACAAAAAATTGATAATTGACGTAGTGATTGAACTGTATTTTGGATAGTCAAAAACTGACCTTGCTTGAAAGTAACAGTATCAGTTGAGTGGTTAACGCGATAATCAAAAACCACTACAGGCTACTCAATGCTTTATACGAAATTTAAACGATAAAAAAAACAGTCGATCTAATCTTTTCGCGTTTAGCTGTGTAATAGCCCAAAGTTTATATAAAAAAATATATCGAAATATATTCTGATTTTTCTTGGTATTTTGCAATGTCATTCGTTTTTACAAATATCAAAAGCAAAAATACTGCTTTGATGCCATTTTATCTAATTGTATTTGCAAACAACTTTCAATTAAATAAAAAATTCTTTCCGTTTTCGCTTCAAACCGAAAAAAAAAATCATTATCAGCAGAATGTCTGTGTTTGCACAAAAAAAATCATCGTCACTTTGTATAATTAAGTCTTTAATATGGTTTTGATGTGCGTGACGATATGAACAAATGACAAAAGGTTCTTCTAGAACTCGAATCAGAGCTGTTTTTTGTGTATATGTAAATTGCGACACATATATTTTGCGCCCAATTCATAAACAAATCATGCTATTATATTTTGTAATGCATACCACAATAATTGAATCCATTCCCAAAATTGTCAAGCCGAAACCATTAAAAAATTGTATTTTATTCGTTTATGAATTGTATCAAACTAGAGTGCGGCAATGAATATATAGAGAGTGAAACAATAAAAACTTTTGTTGTTATCGCACATTTGTAATAAGTTCTATTTCATGATTGCCTCCGGAGAATTTCCAAATGTGACAAAATGTGTTCTTGAATGATTCATCAAATAGCATTGCATTTAATTAATTGCATACACTTTGTATGGTATGTTAGAAAAAAAACCCATTATCCCAGAATTTAAGTAAATTAACACTAAATTTTACGTATGATAATGATAAAGCGCTCTAGAATTTATATTTAATATCTAAATTATTTCGTTACTTTTTTTTTGCGCTCATCACCAGCTGAGAAGTTTGTTCAGCTTGAATATTGCATGTGATTAGGTAAAACTTGAGAAAAATAGCAGACAATTCCCCATGATAATTATTATTATTTATCAACAGTCCTTGAAGGCATTGTTTCACACACACACATCAACAAATCTCCCTCATCTCTCAACGTTATGGCGCATCGTTGTTGTTTTTACATGGTGCAATTCAATCCAAGTGGATTATTATAA